GATAATCAGATTCAAGAGATTACAATTATTTCTCAAATCATAAAGTATCAGGACTTATTTTATCTTTTAAGTATTAAAAGAGATATACTTCATAAACTCCATAATGCTGATAACTAAGGATTTCTAAAATGTAGCATTCCTTTAAAATGAGTGGGGAACAATTTTCTGCCAAAGGCCATTTGGATATTTTTAACATCATTTTCGGGCCATACAAAATTATCAACATAAAAATTAGCCTGCTATATTTGGCCAAACATTTAATTAATTAACCCCTAATGCCTTGGCAGGGCAGACCAAGTGATTTCTCAGGCATTTTACGTAGGGCCTGCGGGTTGACTGTTCCCTACCCCTGCTTTAAAAATATATTCTCTAGGACAATTTTCCCCTAAATAAGTTCCTCAGAACACTAGACCTACAAGGTTTCCTGGTGGGGATGAAAAAGGGGGGTCTGGTCAAATAAATTTGGCAGACACAACTTACTTTATGTCCATCTTGAAAATATTTGAAAACTTAAGTCTTGTATAAATATTAGTTTTCTGTGTTTCATTTTTCATCATCACATAGCACACTTCTTTGGTTAACAAAATTCCTTTGAGTACCTCTACTCACTTTTTTTGGAACATACTTTGGTAATGCTAGGGCAGGGGTCCTCAAACTACGGCCCGCGGGCCACATGCAAATACAAATATTGTATTTGTTCCCGTTTTGTTCTTTTACTTCAAAATAAGATATGTGCAGTGTGCATAGGAATTTGTTCATAGTTTTTTTTTTTAAACTATAGTCCGGCCCTCCAATGGTCTGAGGGACAGTGAACTGGCCCCCTGTTTAAAAAGTTTGAGGACCCCTGTGCTAGGGTATGTAAAATTTAAATGATACTAGTTTTTTAGAACCACATTAAGTAATCTAATTAATTTTTTAAAAAGCCATGTAGCTTTCAATAGATATTACTTAATAAAAATACTGTAAGAGACATCTTTGGTGGAATATAGAAGTGATTTAAACATAAATTATTATTCTCTAACATTTATTGCAAGAGAGCCAAGAGAGAAAACACCAATCAGTTATGACACCGACCTGGTTATTAATGTAGAATATGAAACGATAACCCAAACAAGAGTTCAGACTATACATTTCTAGTAACACTAGAGGCCCGGTGCACAAAATTCATGCACGGGTAGGGCCCCTAGACCTGGGCGGCGATCAAGGCTGATCGGGGCCTCTGGATGCCACTGGGGCCTCCCTTCCCTGGCTGCCGGTTGGGGCTTTCCTTCATTCCGCGCCAACCCCTGGTGGTCAGCACACGTCATAACAAGCGATCAAACTCCCGGTCTCCCGGTTGAACTCCCGCAGGGACACTTTGTATATTAGCCTTTTATATATATATAGATGGTATAAAATATGCTTGACCAAACTAAAACTATGTCTAAATTTAAGCACACACTCAATTTTTATTAAAAGAAAGTACAGCTGTGTCTATATTGTTAGCCCGTTTGGTTTTTAAGCCAGCTGATCAGAGTTTGATTTAAAAAGAGATGCCTTAACAGTATGCTAACTCTGCATACTTCTATGGAGTTTCGCCAACTTCCATGCTTTTGGGTACAACCTGCAAAGGGGAAACTCCCCTATCATTTATCATCAAATGTAGTTAATAACTGTCTTGGTATTTTCAATAAACTAGCTTTTAAAAAGGCATTAGTTGGAAGGTAGATGGAAAATTAAGGCTGTGCAAGCATTATATAAAAAAAAGAGTAGCATTTTTATTATAATTACTGTTTATTTGCACCCAGCAAAGTATGTCAAGGTTAGGAGGCTTCAATAATCAGAAATCATTGCCTTTCTCTATCTAAGGTAAAAAAGAGAGAGAAAAAAGTGACTCTAAAATGTGAAAAGTTTAATGTGGATGAAATTCTAGAATAAAATATTCATAACTCTATACAGAATTATTGACTATCATGATATAAATACAAATATTTACTACTTTGTCTTTGAAGAACATCTTAATACCAGTCCAAAATTACTCTTAACTGAGAGTATGATACACTAGATATTATACAATCAATAGTATAACCCTCACAAATCTTTTAAATACTTAAGTGTAGTAAGAAAAAGCAAGAAAACAGGCTAAGCACAGTAAATCTGAAAAATTCCTTAAGTAAAAAGTTTGACCTAATGGACTTCAACCCTGTTCCCAAACTTTGATTCCTACATTCTTTAAGAAGCATTGTTTTAATACCTAGTACTTTGTAAGCTGCTATGATTATAGATCTGTGATTTCTTTTATATAACACTATAATTCATTCATTTAACAAGTACTTGAGTATCTACTACCATGGAAAAATAAAGGTTAAAATACATATGAAGCCTGCCCTAAAGACACTTAGAAGTCTGGAATAGGTGAGACAGATATAAATGGTAGAAAGCCAAATCTGTTTTAAATGTGAAGATTGCTCAGAGGGAAAACAGATTGTTTGGTGGGGGAAGAAGTAAAGGATACAGATTAGGGAATGCATTGATGATAGATTTAAAGAATAGGGAGATTTCAGACAAAAAAAAAGAGGCTTTGTACTGGAAAAGATGAGAAAAGCATGAAAAATGGAAATTCACAATGAAAACAATTTAATTTTGCAGAAATATAAACTACAAAATACTAAATAATAACATAGAAGTTAGCGGTCCCAAGCTCTGGCAACTTGAATTTCCAGGCCAGATCTAACCACCAATTAAAACATCTAATGTTGAACACAGAGCTCTATAAATATTTCTAAATTAGTGAGCCATGACCCCCTTATATCTATTATACTTCCTGATGGAATGAGATGGTGAAACAAATGTTACTTATATTGTAACTCAGAATAAATGATTAATTCTCTTCCAAAGACAAACTACTTTTCCAATTTTGAGTGTACGTACTTAACGTTAGGCAAGAACAAGAACGCTCTTTCAGTTTGTAAATACAGCATACACTCAAATGATACTCAGGCTTCATTTTATAAATCATGATATAAAAAGTATGCTGTTCCATTCACCATGGCAAGATCCAAGTGTTCTAGTCTCAGTTCTGCAATACTGTGCAGGTCGCTCTGTACCTCAGTTTCCTAACTTTTAAACCGAGGGGGTTCAACATGCATGAACTGCAAAGGGTCTTCCAGCTTTAAAATCCTATACTCAATCGTACATCATCTTCCAACTAATGACCAAAAAAGATAGTATTCTTCCTTTAAAAACATGGAATGAAAACTATCCTTGATTGAGCACATACTAGGTGTCAGGCTCTACTTCTTATTTCACTTAATCCTCATTACACCCCTAAGTGCATGCATTTTCCTTATTTTACTCATAGGGTACGAGCCATCTTTTATCTGTCCAACCCAAGTACGGATGGAAGGTAAGGATTCAAATCAAGGTCTAACTCCAAAGCAAATTATAGCAAACCACATTTTAAAACTTGGTGCCCCAAACCAAAAATATCAGACAAGACCAAAACAAAACACAACCACACACCAAAAGCTGAAGAGGTGGGCTGTGACGGCGGCAACCTGGGGAGCGCACGGTCTTCCAACAGGGTAGCTCGGCTGCCTGGTAGCCCCACGGGGGAACCAACGAAAGAAGCCGAATACCAGCTGTATGTTCGTGTGTGTGAAATCTCCCGACTTTCAAATGAAGGAAAACAGACTTACCAGCTTCCACCTGCTTTAAACAGTTCTAACCCCGATCTGTAAGGTTACTTTTAACAAATTTCCAGATTAAGTTTTAAAATATGGGCACCAGCAATAAAGCCTCAGCTTTGGAGTAAAACTTGGTTGAATCCTGGCTCTATTACTAGTAGTGTGATATTGGTCAAGTTAGGTCACCTCTCTCAGTCTCATTTTTTCATCCGAAAAGTGAGGCTATTATCAACGGTCTTGCAGGGTGATGAGGGATTAAAGGAGAATGTGGACTTAAAGAGCTCAGCACGGTCTCCAGCACAAGGTAAGGGCTTGACAATAAAAGTTACTATTACCCTTCAGGACCCCAGTGACATAGAGCATGGTATCTACGTCCACAGGCACCCCAGCTATGTGTACGAACATTCCCCAGAGTCTGCCTTTAAAACCACGCTGTGTCACTTTTCTGTCGGCCTTAAATAAAAAGTTTATTTTTAAAAAGTCACACACACTCATTTCTAATAGACATTAATCAAACGTCACAAAGTTAAATTTATCATAAACCTAAAATCGAACCAACTCTCAGACTGTTTTGTGGCCAACGATTTTTCTAAAGTGATGCCGAAAATAGGGTTACCACGAATTCAGACTGCACCGCCCCCCTCCGCAGGGACACTTGAACAGGGTGAGTGTAAGGGAAAGTGGTGGTGGTGGTGGGGGGGGGGGTGTCCCCAAAGCTCTTTGAACTCGAAAGATCCCTACGACGTCCAAGTATTTCCCAATTGGCATATATCTGCGTGAGCCCGAAAAAAAAACACGGGGTCCGAACTGTTGATGGGACAAGAGCAGGTGGCTTTGTGCCCCAGCGTGTCTTTTTATTCTTAGCCACAAGCTCTCTTCAACAGCTGGGTTTTAACCAGTCCCCCCCAAAGCTCCATTCCAGACCGCGAGAGGGCCGGACTTGAGGCTCCACTCGGCCAGTGGAGACACCAGCGAAAAGGGAGGAGCTCCGGGAGAGGCCCGCGGCCTCGAGGGGCGTGGGAGACGGTCAGGCCACCCCAGCCCTGGATCGACCCCTTCCCGGGCGGCACCCAGCACGGACCACCCCCTCGCGGGGCCTGCGGCGCTTAGAGACGCGGCTGCTGTCAGCCGGGCCGAGCCGCCGCGGTGGGTGGGGGCTGCGCTAAGGGACGAAAGGGAATAACTCGGGGGGTTTCTGGAGAGAAAGGGAGGCGAAGGGGGAGGCGGGATGTGGACCCACGGTGGGGCGCGGGAGGTGACCTCCGGGCCCCTGAGTCCTCCGTCCCCGTTCCTGCCCGGACCCTTCCCAAGTCCCGGACCCGCTGCTCCTCTCACCGTCTCGGCTTCTGTGTGCTGGGGTCCGGCGCTCTGTCCCCCCATGACCCCGCGGAGGAAATTCATCTTGATGTTCGGCCACCGGCTCTACCGGCCCCTTCGGGAAGAAAAGATAACTTCCCCTGCCCTCCGCAGGGCCTGGCCCCCACGTTCGCACTCCGCGGCCGCCGCCACCGCCGCCCTCCAACTCGGCGGCCGCTCCAGCCCCCGAAGCCCGGAAACACTTTTAGTGGAGATGCGCATGCGCGGAAACGTGGCATTACGTGGCGGCTCGAAGGGCGAAGGCAAAGGGGGAAAGTAAACGATAGGAGGTCCGAAGCCTGGGTCCGCCCAAGCCCCGCCCACTGCGCAGGCACCGCCTCCCTCCGCAGGGACACGCCTTCTGCTCCCGCCCCTCTGTGATCGCTGGGGCTGAAACCCGTCACCCACGTGGTCGGAGCCCGGCCCCGCCGGCTGGAGAGGATCCGGAGCGTGTGTACGTGTTTTGGCTTGCAGGGTGTGCAGTAGGCGCCGAACGGGACTGACTGCAATCTCTCAAATCTGGGGTCGTATTTTGAGTCGAAAGTGAAATTTTCCTTCGGCCGACGAGACAGGTAAGGAATCCCAGCCGCAGGGATGGTTCATTTGGTTTTGCGGTGTAGCTTCTGATTCCCGAAAATTGTATTTGGTTGCGTGGCTTTGTTTGGTGGTCAAAAGGGTGCTGGAGCCCCCTCATTCCACTGCCACAGGAGGGCGCATTTCTCAGCTTTTGCTCTTCAAACCTGTTAAAAGGAACGCCAGGTACACCGCTGTTTTCAAGTGGTGTGAGGAGAAAACCAATCGAACTCCGCATTTATCTCACTAGAGAAAATACGTTGATCTGCAATGTCAGTTTGGCAGCTAGTAGCATAATGTTTTGTTATTAACTCTCAACCCCTGCATTTCAGTTTGTGTGTGTGTGTTTTAGCATAAAAAAAGTCGTGTGTTTTTTTTCAAATCGGTATGCATTGTCCCCTTAAAAATGAGATTTCCAGGTCCATATGCTTCTGGAGTAATCTTGTAGATTTCTTGAGCCCAAAAAGCGCAGGGTCTAGTTAGCCAACTGAGTCATACATCTCTCCACTTGGATGCCCCACAGGTTTCAGATTCTCCAGCCTCCCTTAAAGAAAAAAAATCCAGATGCTCCCTGTGCTCTGCCATGATCAATAGTATCACTAGCCATATAGTTGCTTAAGCTAGAAGGAGGAAGCTGGGAAGACTCAAGCTCTGGATTTCACCCCCACCCCCACTGTCTAGTAGTCAAGTTCTATTATGTTTATTTATAGAACGCAGTATTTCTCAAATAGGTCTGCTTTCCATATCTCTGCCTCTGAGATAGATTGTTGTCATCAGTTTTCACCCAGATTACGGCAATAGCTTCCTAACTAGTTTGTCATTATTAAAGCCCTGACTTCCCTCCATTCCAGTCTCTAGTCCAAGCTTTCTGACTTCACGGACCACTAGGCTAGTCCATCCGTGGGTGAGCCTAGCAATGGCAAAACATCTGTCCATGACAGTCCTCTTATTAAAATCTTTCATTGATCACCCATGTTCTCCATAATAAAACCAAACTCCTTAGCTTACTATACAGGCCTGTTATGATCTGGCTCCGGCCTATCTTTACAGCTTCTGCCTTCCCCACAGACTCAGGGTATATGTCTTTCCCCTTCCTCCTCCTTATCAAGGAAACTCTTGCTAGTTCCTTAAGACTTAACTCTGGCATCTTCTGGCAACTCTCAATAAGTGCTTGTTAAGCCAGACTGTTGAGGGCAGGATTATGTTATTTATTTTGTATCTTTGTGTCTTAGCACTGTCTCATAGGTGATATTATGGATAAGTGAAGACAACATTAAAAGGATATATGAATATTATGCTGAGGAGGAGGGTCCCTTTTTTCATCTGTAATGTAGAATTATAGGTAGTACATATCACAAAAGCTATAGTGAAAGTTCCTTTCCTAAGTGTCAAGGTTTTAAGCCTGGGTGACTTGGATAATGGTGGGGATCATACTGCCAAAAATACTGTGCACTAAGCATTGTCCCCTGCTTTAAAACTGGGCACTTGACATTTTCCATCAGACATTTTCCATGGGGACATTTTGTTGCAGCCTAAAAAAAGTAACTAATAAATGCTCAGCTTTTTTATTACCATGTAATGTGTGCAAAGAACTTCACCAAGTCCCTAAGTCTCACCTCTCTCTCTCTGAGCCTCTTCTCACCTGCTCCCTGTGCCCCACTCCACCCCGTCATTAGGCATGAAGCTCTAAGATGGAGTGGGGCTCATTGGATGTATACTACATGTATTATTTGGCAATAAAAAGCAGTGCTTTGACATTTTAGCAAAATTGTTTTAAGGCACTGGCCTTTTCAAAATGCCTGGCTTTGTTTTAAATGTTGGTGAGTATAGTAGGCCACTTTGAGTTTTCCCTTCATTTGACCTGTTTTCTTCCCTAACGGCATGCCCTGGGTAGGAAGGACTATGGGCAGGAAGGATGGACAGTTGGTTGCAGAGCAGATGAGTGTGGAGGCCCCAGACCTCCTCTTGACCTCTAGTCTTGCCTTTCTCCTGATGTTTGGGGAAGGGTGGAGCTGCCTGTTACTTCGAGGAGGCAGAGAAGGTACAGTGGCCATTTTGTCCCTCATTTGGGGTCTAAAAGGAGAGCAGAGACATCATTACTACAGAATAGCCATGAAATGTACTCATTTAAGGGAAAGGGGGTTACATGTGAACCTACTTCCGCTGATTTTATAGAGAAAAGTCACGGACCATGTCCTGTTCTTATTTGTACTCTTTATTCATCTAGTGTAATTCCTTTATCATGATAGATGCTCAAGATCCATTTCTTAAATAAAGGAAGAGAATCCCTAGCTGGTTTGGCTCGGTGGATATAGCGTTGGACTGCGGACTGAAGGGTCCCAGGTTCGATTCCAGTCAAGGGTACATACTGGGTTGCAGGCTCGATCTCCAGTAGGGGTCATGCAGGAGGCAGCCAATCAATATGATTCTCTCTCATCATTGTTGTTTCTTTCTCTCCCTCTCCCTTACTCTCTGAAATAAAAATATAGTTAAAAATAAACAAATATATATATATATATACATATATATACATATAAATAAATAAAGGAAGAGAAAAATGGAAAAAATTGTGACTGCCTGACTATGCCATTATACTTCTGACTTTCATAAATCTAAACACTCAAGATAAGAATGCCATGAATTATTAAAATACACATATTTGACTTGGATAAATAAAAATGATTTTTCTTTTCTTAAAGCAAACCTGATAACAGAGCAACTAACAAAAGACATTGGTTTGAAATTCATTTTTAAAACTGTTTATCCTTACAATCCCCTAGTTCAGTGGTTCTCTTCAGTGGCCCGTTTTCCCCATCTTTTCTTACTTTCTAGTGGCAAACTCAACAATAGCAAGATTGCACTCTTTTTTTATGGCTGAATCAAATTCCATTATATATATGCGCCACTTATTTATCCATTCATCTATTGATGGACACTTAGGTTGCTTCTATATCTTGACTATTGCAAATAATGCTGCAATGAATATATGGATGCATATGTCTTTTCAAAATAGTGTTTTGAGTTTCTGCAAATAAATACCCAGAAGTGGAATTGCTGGGTCCTTCTTTGTCTCTTGTTATAGTCTTTTTTTCTAAATGGTAAAAGGCTTTTTATTCCACATTCAGCAATATAATTTCTTCAAAAACCTAGTAGGCTTCTTAACTCTGATTGCAATTAGTTCTATATGCTAGTAGCTACCCTCAAAGTTTGTCTTAGGTATAATTCTCAGCCTGATTTATTTTGTTTATAGCTTTTGTTTTAAAGTCTGTTTTTGTCTGGTATAATTGCTACCCCAGCTTTTTTTTTTTCTTTGTTTCATTTTCATGAAATATTTTTTTTATCCCTTTACGTGCAGTCTTTCGATATGCAGCGAGCCTCCAGTAAATAGCCACATACAGGTTTTTAAAGTCTAGTTACTGGAAAATCAGTGTACAGAAATATTGGTGATACAATTATGTGTAATATCCATTAACCAAACAACACACAGCGAAATAAATCGATAATGATGAAGCAGCAATTGACATTTATGACCAATCAATAATAACAATATCAAGCATATATTTGTGCTCCTTATAGACTAGCCTTTAGTTATTTAAAGTACTTTACATAAAATAATTTGCTTAATCCTCACAACAACCTTATGAGGTAGTCATTGTTATCAGTCCCATTTTACAGAGGGCAAAACAGGCACACAGAGTAACCTGGCCCTGTCATACAGCTAGGAAGTGGCAGAGCTGGGACAGTTGGCAGTCTGACTCCAAAGCCTGTACTCTTATGTACTTTGCTATCTGACCTCTCTAGACTCAAGACAATGACCTCGCACTAAGTGGTCTACAAGTTCTTACACAATCTGGCCCCTCTGTTATCTCCATGACCTCATCTTCCCTCCATTCCAGCAACCCTGGCTTCCTTGGGTTTCAGAAACTTGCTCTTGCCTCTTGTTCTTTGCTATGTTTTGAATGTGCGCAACTCCAGCCATATAGAGGACTGGCTCACTCCTTCACCTTCTTCGAGCCTGCTCAGATGCCACTTAGGTCTTTCCTGACTGTCCTAAGTTGTAATCATCCCATACTCCTTCTCCCTCTGCTCTGCTGATTCTTTTCTGTAGCACTTACCATTCTGATACATAATTCTTCCATATGCATTGTTTTCCCACATTTCATCAGATCTAAGACAACATCAAATCTAACTCAGAAAGAAAAAAGCAAACAAGCCTGTCAGGTTGTAAAAAGCCATCTACCAACAGAGGCATTTAAATTTCAGGTTTTATAAAATGTAAAGAAAATGTTCATTGTAAGATTAATGGAATATAGTATATTTTATTATTATATTTTAATCCTCACCTGAGGATATGTTTATTGATTTTAGAGAGAGAAGAAGAAAGAGAGAAACATCAATTTGAGAGAGAAACATCCATCGGTTGCCTCCTGTGCACACCCAGACCAGGTATCGAACCTGTGACCTTTTGATGTATGGGATGGTGCTCCAACTAAACACCTACCTAGGACTCGTATATACTTTAAATCTTTACCTTGTTTATTATCTCTTTTCCTACCACCACCAGAATGTAAACCACATTCTGGCAAGGATTTTAGTCCTTTTATAAATAGCTTGATCCTCAGTGCTTAGCACAGTATCT